AGAGAGAATCACAGGGGTTTAAACCATATTCTCCAATTTATTTCTAAGAATTTCATATGATACAGAATAAAATCCATCATCATCATCATCACTAACAAATATGTATTTCTCACTCTAGGCCAGACAATGTGCCAAGGTCCTTGAAAGTACTGTATTATTGATATTAATTACAGCTTCTACCCAGTAGGCCATCAACCAGAGATTAGATTTTTCCAAAAATCCATATCCTTTACATAAACATAAGTAAAGGTGTTTGCAAGTTAAAATTTCTGTTTATCTCCCCCTCACCCTTTTATCCTCATAAATAGAAATTGATGTTTATAAAATTTTCTGGGAACTTGATTTTTAATATTCCAAAGCAGGGTCCAGATAACTACATCCCAGATTTTCAAGTTTAACATCAGTTCTCCACGAAACCTCAGAGTGGACAGCTCATGAACCTGGACTCCCTTCATCAAGTATCCACTGTTACTTCTTCCCCACACACAGATTTCTAGCCTGCTAATCATTATTCGCATCTTCTAAGTTAACCTTAACCTACAAATGAACCATTCATTCTTTGTGTATACTAAAATGCAAGTCCCTCCTTCCCCTTGTGATGGATGACCTTTGTGGCGAGTTCAGGCAGGGTCTGGAGACAAAGCCGTGTACAAGACAGATGCACACAGGGCCTCCAGCTTCCTCGAATCATAAATGTCCATCACAAACTCACCCCGCCTGTCAAAGAAAGAAGAATGAAATAACTCAGTTCTGAATTTAGAGGAGAGAGCTAATGAGCCTCAGGACATCCCAAGCCAATTGCCCACACTGATTATGTAAAAATACATTTTGCATCTGGTAGTTGATTTGCCACACAGTTTAACAGAAAAGTAACTTTATCTATTTTTCCAATTAAAGGAAGTAATGTTACAATCAATATTTTCTCCTTCTCTGGTGTGGAAATTAATGTCTGTCTATTGTTTTTAAACCACAAAGTGAGCATTACTATAGAAATATAAAATGGCACTATTTCATTTTAATCTATTTAATTTTCCATTCTTGAATTACATAATGGGGTTAAAACATTGAATAGAATTAATAGGATGAGTATTTAATTAAGCAATAATGAGTTTCTAAATGGATGCTCAAGGAAACTGGCTTTATAGTTTATGCAAGAATCAGATAATGGTGTTAACAAAGACCATAATAATTATGTTGAATGTTTTCTATATTTAAAGATTTTTTTTTCTGAATTCTCTCAGGAGTAGATTTAAACATAATCTAGTTCCTTGATTAGACTCCACTTTGTTTTGAAAGTAAATTCCAAATGCCTGTCCATGGCCCACAAGGCCCTGCGTAACCTGACTCTATCCTCCTCTGGAGTCCAATAGGAAACAGTTCTCCCAGCCTGGCCTGCACTCCGGCCACAACCACCTTCCCTGTTCCACAGACGCATCATGCTCCCTCACCACTGGCCTTTGCACCAACTGTTCCAGATGCTAGGAATGCACTCTCACTTTCACCTCACTACCTCCTCCTCTTCTTTCAGTTCCCAAGGAGTTCTTCCCTAACGACCCTCCCCAGTCTGGGTCAGATACCACCCCTCTCACCATCTGCCCAAGGTACAGGCTCTCCAGGAACTATGTTATTTCATTCCTAGCACCTAACACATTTTTATAATTATACTTATACCATGTCTGTTTTTTTACTAGTGTATCCCCAGAACATAATACTATATCATGCCTGGCATGCAAAAGCCTTCTCACCAAGTGCTGGAAGATGGGTGGGTGGATGGATAGATAGATAGATAGATAGATAGATAGATAGATAGATAGATAGATAGATAGATAAAAGTTGGATAGAAGATGGAGGGAGGGTAGAAGGAAGGATGGATGGATGGATGGATGGATGGATGGATGATGGATGGGTGGATGGTGAGTGGGTAGATGGATTGCAGGTAAATGTGTCTACATTTCTACATTACTACATCTAAGGGCATGTTAGGACCACAATACATACTTTGAGAATTCCTAGAACAATACCATCTTCTCATTCCACTTGGGATTCATTTGCTCACACACTAAAAAGGTATTCAGTGCCAGCCAGCTTTCGTAGGTTCTGTAGACATGAAATAAAAGGGTTCTTGGTGAAGCTGCATAGGCTTATCTTACTTAGACATGGCCTAAATGTTAATTTTACAGATTTGTTCATCTATCCATCCACCATATTTTCATATGCCTAGTACTGTGCTATGTACTAGAAATCAGGACTGAATGAACTATCCACTGTACCATTAGGTACAGTGCCTAAGATTCTAAAATCAATTAAAAAAAGAATTTTTTAGGGTCAAAGAAAATTTTAATTGTTTCCTTATATCAGAAAAAAAATCAAATTTTTAAAGCCCATGAAAACATATTTATGGTATGAGGGGCCAATGAAGGTAAAAATGTCTAAGGTCCACCAAAGTCATAATGCAGCCTTGTGAGGTGTCCTGGAGAACTAGAGAGATCAGCCCATTCTCTACCTTTCTAGAGCATTCAGGGAAGTAGCAGAATCAAGCATCCATCAATGAGTCAGTCCCTCTTAGTGTCACTCCTGCATAGCTCTATCCCTTCACATTTCCTCTTAGCCCTCGCATCTGATGCCAGGTTCCACTTCCTACATTTAAGACCAGCCATTCATTCATTCATTCATTCATTCAGCAAATACCTACTGAGTCCCTTCTGTGTACCTAGCATCTTGTGTGGGGCTGTCGGCAAAGCCCTATACAAGGCAGTTGCACACAGAGCCTCCAGTTTCCTCAGATCACGATCTGTTCTTATAGTGTCTTCACCTCAGCAACATGACATTCAGCTCCTATGACAAAGCAACATCTCACCTAGGTATTGGATGTAACAGCATTTCCACCTGACTGATGGTTTCCAGCATCCTCCAGTCTTAGCACTTACCATGCCAGTAATTGTCCACCTGCTGTTCTAAGGTACAGGTGTCAGAAGAGGCACAAGGACAGGTTGGTAGCTGACGTCTGCTGTGATCAGTAGGGACAGAGAGCTAGCTCTCTGGGTCTGGACCACAGCAGAGGCGAAGGACTGGCATATGCAATGTGGGCATGAGTAATAGAACTTGTTAAAAGCAGAGACTGCTGAAATCCAGGAACCTTAGATCTGACCTTTGGGTCACTGAACAGCTTTGGATAAACCACTTCCTTCCTTCCCTCTCTGTACCTATATCTTCATCTGCAACCTGAAAGGAATAGATAGCACACGTGCCACCATGTCCCCCTCCTGAACACACGGCAGACAGCAGTACAGCCTCCTTCTTGCTGTGCTCAGATGCACTGGGGGCCCCCCAACACTGAGCTCAGGTAGCCTCACCAGTACACAAACCTGGCTCTTTCGTTGACAACTTGCCATCCTTGAACTTGGACTCAATCATGCTTCTCACCCTGAGCTTCGTATTAGAATTATGCAAGCAGGTTAAGAAAATGCTAAGCCCAGGCCTTACCCAAGACCAACTGAATTGGAATAGGACCATAGGACCCAGGTTTTGGGAGGGTTTTCATTTGCTTTTTTTAAATGTGTTTTTAAAAAGCCCCTGAAGAGATTCTAATTTGCAGACAGAGCTGAGAACCACTGGTCTAGAGTTCCAGCTCGGGGATTCTATGAGGAGGAGGGAAAGACACAAGATAGGACTTAGTTAAACAAGAATCAGAGGAAGTGGGCCAAAATAATTGTCTCCTGGAGCTGTCTCATATTTTCATGTGTCTCATACTGTGCCGTGTGCTAGCATCCTCCATGTCCCTCCTCACTCCGCTGCTTTCCATCCTGCGCGCATGTTCCAAGCATTCCCCAGCTGCCCTTTCACGGAAGGGAAACAACTCACCCAGGTTTGCTGAGGTGTGATAGACAAATTAGTTCCCATCCGCTCCCCACCCCCCAAGGCATCAAGATTAAGGCTTATGATTAATGATTTGCAAGTCAATTAATCAGCTGCTGCTTCCGAAACCTCATTTCTCAAATTACTTCCTTTGTACACAAAAGCTCTTTGATGTCATCTTACTGTCTCTAGACTCGCTTTCCTACTAATTGAAATTCCAAGATATTTCTTCTTCTTGTCAGCTTATTGGTATGACTTGTTTGTAAAATATTTGCAAATGGATTACTGTTCACCTGTACTGTGTCAGAGGTAAGCACCAAAACAATACTTTATGCTTCCAGCTAAAGGAATGTGCTAATGATAGCTTGTGAAATTCTCTATCTATGGGGAAGCCAATTTTTCATTTATTGATTTATTTCCACACACCTACTTGCAACAAGTATTTGAGATGTATTACAATAAAAACACAGGTACAACAAGGCCTCCAACAATTGATTTATGCATTTCCTTAGAAGATAGTTCTTTAAAGTCACACTAGTTGGGTACAAGGGGTGGGAAGGATGAAACTGACTTTCTTCATTGGGGAATATGGTGCAATCTAGCAGAGGCTCCAGAGCCAAACGCAGGGGTTCAGTTCCAGTCTCTTCACTGATGAGCCATGGCACTCTGGTTATCTGGTCACCTTGTAGTTTAGGGTAGGTGAGGCTACAGGAACACAAGCAAGCCAAAATATAGAAAGGCACAAACTCAACAGAAGTTTGTTTCTCATTCATCAACAGTTCAGGCAGGTGTTCCCGGATGCTAGGCTGCTCCCCTCCATGTGGTGACACAGGGACCCAAACCCCTCCCCTCTTGTGGCTCAATCCTCCCCCTGGGTTCTTGTGACTGTCTACATTCAGGTGGACTGGAGAAGGGAACAAAGAAGAGGGACTACTGTTCTCCATCATAATCTTCTTCCTGTTTCATTATTCATTATTAAATGAGGTTATATGACAATGTACCAAGCCTATGGTTAAAGAGTTCTGTAAATGGTCTTTCCAAAGATGACCAGCCATTGTGTGTGTGTGTGTGTGTATGTGTGTGTGTGTGTGTTTGTGTGTGTGTATTTTTTTCAAAATAACAATAGCCATCTGCTTTGTTTGCAGTTTCAAGCCACAGTTGAGGAAGGAGCCGTGGGAGTTATTGTCAACTTGACAGTTGAAGACAAGGATGACCCCACCACGGGCGCGTGGAGGGCTGCCTACACCATCATCAATGGAAACCCTGGCCAGAGCTTTGAAATCCACACCAACCCCCAGAACAACGAGGGGATGCTTTCCGTCGTCAAGGTAGGGGTGCTTCCAACTGCTCCTCCCTCCACACCTGAGCTCTGAAGCCCATGATGGGGCTCATGGCCTCGTTACACGGAGAATGTCCAGGATAAGTCAGCCCTAGTTGCTCCCTCCTGGAATTCAAAAGAAAAAGAAAGGCTCATGACTTAAGGGTGTACTGGTGTCCTCACCACCATAAAACCAACCTGTTTTACAGCTTCCAGAAAACTCAAACTTATATATAACTTTAAAAAACCCAAGCTTAATTTTTAAATGAGATTCTCCATGTGTTTAACAATGAATTATCAAAGATATGCAAAAATAGAGTAAGTGAAGGTTTTCTAAAGATCTGTGCTCCAAATAGGAATTATTACATTTCTTTTTAATCTTTCTTAGCAGAGTCTCAGTTATTCTCTTGAAAACGAGATAATTACACCCACGGGCTAGTTCTTGGTGTGAAACCTCCTGTGCACATTGCTGCCCAGCGTGCGGACCCTCTGGTTGCAGGTGGAACAAGGAGAAAATGTGATAATGAGTGTTAAGCCCTAGGCTCCTGCCAGTGCCCTGGAAACGCTGGGTGGGAGGGTGGTATTGGCAGAACGTACTGGTGGCTCGGTGTACTAGCAGGATTTTCATACACTTCTACTCTCTGGGAGTTTCTGCCAAGCCAGGACATTCATTGGGACAGTTTCTTTTCTGGTAGGCGAAGCCATTTGCCTCACAAGCAAGAAGTAATCATATTGATAGTAATTGTAGCCATGGACAGAGCAGAAACATTGCTACCTACCCTCTGTGTGCTCTGGGCCAGGACACCTACCTATGTGTTCTGTGGCTCTGTTTCCTCAGCAAAGGGTGATAATACCACCCACCTCTCAAGCTGATGTAAGGAATTCATCAGCTAATATGTAAACAAATTCAGAACAGTGGTAGGCATGAGAGCCTGTGTACATTCCCTGAGACTGCTGTAACAAATGACCACAAACTCGGTGGCTTATAAAAACATAAATTTATCCTTACACTTTTGGGGGCCAAACTCCAAAATCAGTTTCGTGGGACTCGAGTTGCAGGGCTGGTTCCTTCTGGGGGCTCTATGGGAGAATCGATTTCCTCGTCCTTTCCAGCCACTGCAGCTGCCTGCATTCCTTGGCTCATGGCCCCTTCCTGTATCTTCAAAGCCAGCAGCACAGCTTCTTCATATCTCTGACTGACCTGCCTGCTGCCCTCTTTGAAGGCTCTTTGTGATGATACCGGGCTCACTGGGATAACCCAGGACCACCTCTCCATCTCAAGGTCCCCTTTGCCATCTAAGCACATACTCACAGGCTTGGGGAATTAGAACGGTAGGCACATTTGGTGGTCATTATTCAGCTGCTATGGGACCATATAAACAACTACACCCACCAAGTTCCACAGTGCCCTTGGGTGCCGAAGCCACTGGAAATAGAAATCTTGGAGAGCTTCCAGCTTGTTCCAGAACATGAGGGCTCTGGGCTCCTCCAAGCCTGCCCTTTCCGCACCTCTTCCAAAATGAACCTCAAATGTTGGCCAGGACAGAGCAGCCTCTAGGTCCTCCCAGTTCTTCTCCCCTAATAACACCGGCAACAGCAGAGCTGTTAGGAGATCCTGACACTGCCGCCGGCACCCACCACTGCGGCTTCAAAGCTGTGAAAGTCATAAAATAACACGGCCACTGCCAGTCCTCATTCACTGGCCTCATGTCTGCAAAAGCTGTCAGCAGCTTTCCAGGCCTGCACCAAAAGACAAAGCCTGGGGAAATATGCCTCCCCCCCAGGGACCCTGGAGGAGCGCAGTTCTCCCACGTGTGCTTCTGTTTGCACAATGCTATGCATCTGAAATGTTAGCACCTAGAAGCTCACCTGGAACACTAGTTAACATGCAGGCCACACCACGCAGCACCTGCGGAACTGGAACCTGAAGGAGAGCTGCCCCAGGTGACGCTGGTGTTCCCAGAGCACAGCCTGGGGATGAGAAGTTTCCACCTGCAGACTCCTGAGGAGGAAGTTCCATGGAGCCTGGGGTCTGCCTGGGCTTCAGTTTTTGTAGGGAGTGGACTTCCTGTACTTCAGAATCGGAACACAGACTTCTCTCCCATCCACTGCCTGCCACATGCATCCCTACCCAGGCCTCGAGCTCCCCCTGCCTCTCAGCACACCTGGTCAGAGCCCAGGACAGCCCTCAAGAGCAGTGGTTCCCAACCTTTTGTTGGCCATGCCCCACCTAAGCATCTCTAAAATCCTGATGTCCCCACTGTGATAATTGTTTAAAAAGTAATAATAATATGAAGTGATATGAAAAAGTAGCAAATAAAGTTTCAAAACATATAATAGAGAACTGAAATGCATCAATATGTCACAATATATCCTAATATATAAAGAGCTATAGTCCTTCATGACCTAAATGTCCGGATGGACAACCAAACAACAGGCTAGGGTCCCAGCCTGCACGGCAGAAGTCAGTCCTGGGTCCGGGCCGGCACGGCAGAAGTCAGTCCTGGGTCCCAGTGGCCCACGGTGGGAGTCTGTCCTGAGCCCCGACTGCCTGCAGTGCGACAGCAGAAAGGAGCTTTGGGAACGGAGCCATGTTACCATCGGACTGGCCTCTGGGCCCCTCCCCCTGCCCACAGGCTCCAGGGAACCAGAGCCATGCTGCCATCAGACTGGCCTCTGGGTCCCTCCACCCTGGCCCACAGGCCTCGGGAACCAGAGCCATGCTGCCATCAGATTGGCATCTTTGTCCCTACCCCTGGCCCATAGGCTCCAGGAACTGGAGCCATGCTGCTATTGGACTGGCCTCTGGGTCCCTCCACCCTGGCCCACAGGCCTCGGGAACCAGAGCCATGCTGCAACGGGACTGGACCCTACCCGAGGGATCCTGGATTGTGAGAGCTTGCATGCTGGGCTGAGAGAACCACGCCCCCCGGCCAAATACACGAATTTCATGCACCGGGACTCTAGTATTTATAAACTGTATATGAGGCCCCTAGAACCATAAGAAATGCAAAAAATTCATTGTTAATAACTTTTTCTCCAATTGCCCCTCTTAAAAATCAAATTGTCCACCTGTGGGCCATGTGCCCCTTGTTGGGAACCACTGCTCTAGAGGCAGCCTGGCCCCACCCCCGCACTCCACTTGCCAGCAACCAGGGATGCTTTCAGCTGCAATCACAGAACGAGGCTGATAGTGGCTTCAGTAATACAGAAAATCTAACTGTCTCCATAACTAAACTAAGGGAGGGGCTCTAGGCAACTCAAGGTGTCAGAGAGCCAGCAGGGACAATGCAGATGTTCTGGCTTTTTCCTCGAGGACAGAAAATGGCTCAAAGGCCCAGGCATCACATCTTCCCTGTGCTGTGATGCAAGACAGGAAGCAAGGAAGCAGCCAGAAGAGAGGGAGGGAGAGAGAGAGAGAGAGAGAGAGAGAGAGAGAGAGAGAGAGAGAGAAGAGAGAGAAGAGAGAGAACGAACTAGCTCTCGTGTGCCCCTACCCTCTCATTAGGAAGGTGGGTAAGGGAGAAGGGATATGGGCATAGCCGTGGGGCCGCCAGCCCCAAGTAGCGCTGCCCTGACCAGCAGCAGGCAGCGCCCTGAAGAACTAGAGAAGTCTCAGGATTGTGTGGTTTGCGGGGGAGTCCTGCCTCCCCACAGGACCAACTCCGACTGGTCCTGGCAAATGAGCACTGGTTTCCTCTTTAAATCCTTCTGGTCAGAAACACCCTTAGTTGCTTTGTAAACCTACTTCAAAATGTCAGCTACTCTTTCAGCCGAATATAATCCACCCGCGTCTGAAGTCTGTTTTGTCTTTTGTCCTCAGAGGAGAAGGAGGCATCAGTAAGCAGGCATCCTTGATCCCCAAACCCGTCAGACTTAAAGTCTCAGTGGGATCACTTCCAAATCCTCCGTCTTCCAGACAACAAACCCCAGCTCCTTCACCCTTCCCATGTGGGCCAGCTCTTCCAAGCCTTTAAGTCTTCCAGGACAGTGGTCCACACCCTCTCCTGACACTTGATGAAATATTCATTGAATCAAATCTCTGTAACTTTATTGTGTTTTCAACTTCCTCCCATCCCCAACACAGACCCTGCAGCACACACAGCCTTTCAATAGGGTCAGAGGCCCAAGAAAACAAAGGGCTTCTTAACCCAGCATGACCCAGGGCGGCCTTGGAGGGGACTGGAGCAGAGACCCAGCGTTTTGCCAGCTCCGGGTGGGCAGGCCACGGGCATCACACAAAGGGAACTATTGCCCACACGTTATGCAAATGGAAGTGAACACAAGAGAGGTTTCACTCTCCATAAAGCCAGGTGGTCACTGCGTGGCTCACTCTCTCTGCTCCCCTCTCTCGGTGCCATGGTTCACATCTCGGTTACTCTGCAGCCAGCATTCTGCTTAGGGAATGAGGGCCTGGGAACACCCATGTAAAGCCAGGCGGAAGGGCAGTGGCTGTCCAGCTGTTTCAATTCCACACACTTCTTTCTCACCATCTTAACAGCTTGTTATGACATTTGACTCTAGACCAATCTCTGCGTGAAATGTCTGACATGTGTCATCTGCCCCCATCTTTACAGCAGTGCTTTGCACTGGGACTTCATTGAAGGGAGAGCTGAGACTCAAGGAGGTGCAGTGACGTGTCTGTGGTCCCATAAGTCCTATAGTTATTAACATCAGGGCCAGGACTTGACCCTGGCCCTCTTGTAGTTGGGAGTGAAGATGGCCCTCCCACCTGAAGCCATCGCTTCAGCGTGAGTGACAGCCCAAGGGGGCAGAGGACTGGGTCGCATCACATCACGTGTAGAAGCACCAGCTGCTAGGGCAGGTGGTTTATTGTCTCATGGCTGCTCATTGGCCCTGAGCACAGGACAGGCCACGCTGTGTTATCACCACTGTGTTATCTGTTATCACTGCCCCTGCCCAATGTATGCCCAAGGGCCCCGAGCCATGGTGACAATTGAAAACGCCCCACATATTTTCATGCCCTCAGGTGGGAAAGGGCACAGCGGCTTAACCCCAGGTGTCTCAGCTCTCAAATT